ACCTGCTTGTCGGCCGACTCGCATCCCACGGGATCGGCCAGCTCGGACACGCCGCCCCCCGCCTCCACGGCCACCAGTTTCACCGGGATGACCCGCGGGATTCCCGTCAGCGGGGCCGTGTTCAGGATCTCCAGCTCCTGGCGGGACAGAGGGGATGAGCCGGCGCTCCCACGGGACGGGGGGGATGGAGGGAACGGCGCCCACCTGGACCAGAGGGACGAGGGCGCGGATTTCCCGCTCCGCCACCTGGATCTCCCACACCAGTTTGTCCTTCTGGGATTCGGGATCCTGGCCGGGATACTCCACCTGCCAGGTGAGGGGCCGTGCCGGGCCCCCCGTCCCGTTCTCCACCACCAGCTCCAGGTGCAGGAACACGGCCGAGTCGGACACCCTGTGGATGCACGTCGGGATCGGGATCACCGGGACCCAGGTGGGATGGACTGGGATGGGGCGGGGCAAGGGATGGGGGCTCTGGGACCCCACTGGGACCCCACTGGGATGGGGCAGTGCCACACGCTGTGCCAACCCCTACCTTCCGCTGCCAGGGGTGTCCCCGATCCGCCGGCACGTCACCACAGCCAGGGAGTGCTTGGGACCCCGGGAATGCTCCAGGTGGGCGCTCCAGGCGCTGGGAATGGCGGGATGGGCGGCCACCACCTGCAGCCCCTTCTTGGCCTTGATCCTGGGGAGGATCCCATGTCACAGCATCACGCAGTGTCACGTGCTGTCACACACAGTGTCACGCTGTCACACACTGTCACAGTGTCACACAGTCACACACTGTCACGGTGTCAGCATCACACACTGTCACATACTGTCATGCACATTGTCACAGTGTCACACACAGTGTCTCACATTGTCACACAGTGTCACAGCGTCGCTGTCACACAGTCACACTGTCACAGTGTCACACAGTCACACACTGTCCCAGTGTCAGTGTCACACAGTGTCCCACACAGTGTCCCACACAGTGTCACACACACTGTCACACACAGTGTCCCACACAGTGTCACACACCATCACACAGTGTCACACACCATCACACAGTGTCCCACACCACCACACAGTGTCCCACAGTGTCCCATGCTGTCACAGTGTCCCACACAGTGTCCCACACAGTGTCCCACACAGTGTCACACACACTGTCACACACAGTGTCACACACCATCACACAGTGTCCCACAGTGTCCCACACAGTGTCATACACAGCGTCTCACACCATCACACAGTGTCCCACAGTGTCCCATGCTGTCACAGTGTCCCACACAGTGTCCCACACAGTGTCCCACAGTGTCCCAGCTGTCCCAGTGTCCCCCCTGCCCCGGTGTCCCCTCCCGGCCGTGCCCCCCGCGGTGTCCCCTCTCTCACCGCAGGGTCAGGGCGTGCGCAGTGAAGTTGTTCCTCAGGGTGACGGTGGCCCTGAACCTCTGCCCGGGGCGAAGGGTGGCATCGGGGACGCCCAGCAGGACCTTGTCGTCCAGCCGCACCTCCTGCCGCCGCTCCGGCTCTCCCGCCCGCAGCTCCAGCGTTCCCAGGGGTCGCGGCGCGTCCCCCTTCCCGCAGTGCCCCGGCCCCCCCACGCTGTAGCGCAGCTCGGCCGCCTCGGGGCTCCCGGGGCTCTCCGGGGGCTCGGGGGGGTACGGGGTGTCCCCGTCCTTCCGGCGGCTCCGCTGGGGTCCCGGGAGGAACCAGCGCGGGGGGATCTCCAGCTCCACCACGCAGACACCCAGGGGGGCCTGGAGAAGGGGGGGGGGGGGGGCAGGGGGCCCCCCCCCGGGGGTCCCCAGGGGTGGCACTGACCTGCAGGTGACAGGAGCCCCGGGCCACCCGCCCGCGGTGGTGGGCGTGCAGGGTGACGCAGGGCAGCTCCTGAGCCCCGGGGTGGTCCCAGTCCTTCTGGGGATTCCGGTCCTTCGGGGGGTGGTCCTGCTGCGGGGGGTGGTTCCGGGTCCCGGGGTGGTCCCAGTCCCTGGGGTGGTCTCTGTCCCTGGGGTGATCCCGGTCCCTGGGATGATCCCGGACTCCAGGGTGGTCTTGTTTCCTGAGGGACTCCTGGTTCCCAGGGTGGTCCTGGTTCCTGGGGTGATCCTGGACCTTGGAGTGATCCCGGACCCCAGGATGCTCCCGGAGCCGCAGGTGGTCCCGGTCTCCGGGGTGGTCCCTCTGCTCAGAGTGGTCCCACTCCCTGGGATGATCCTGGACCCCAGGGTGGTCCCACTCCCTCGGATGATCCTGGACCCCGGGGTGGTCCCACTCCCTGGGATGATCCTGGACCCCGGGGTGGTCCCGAACCCCGAGGTGATCCCGCTTCCCAGGCATCCAGTCGGGCCCATGCAGATGGAAGAGGACACGAGCCACGGGCTCGGCGGGGGACACGGAGCTCTCCAGGGACACGGCGCGGACGGCCCAGGATGCGGAGCCAGGTGGGCTCTCCATGGGAATCTCCTGCTGGGACACAGGGACGGTGTCGGGGGCTGGGATACCCCAGGATGGTCCGGGGGGCTCCAGGGGTCCCGTTTACCTGGCGGGTGCTGAAGGGGGGGTAGGTGGCCTGGAGCAGGGCCTGGGAGCCGGCGCGGTGCCGGAGCAGCAGGAATGTCTCGGAGCGGGAGTGCAGGGAGGAGTTGGGGGGCACGTCCTGGTCCACCCGCTGCAGCCGGTAATACTCGGGAACCCCCAGAACTTCCAGCTCCGCCGGCAGGAACACGGGATCCGGGGGGTCCCCGTCACCCCTCGCTGTGAGGACGGGGCTGTGTCACCGGCACCGGGGGCACGGGGGGCAAGGGGGGCCTCCGGGCCCACCTGTGTGGCACCACGCAGGGCCACCACATTCCAGAGTCACCCCATCCCAGGGTTATCCTATCCCAGGGTCACATCATCCCAGGGTTATCCTATCCCAGGGCCACCACATTCCAGAGTCACCCCATCCCAGGGTTATCCTACCCCAGGGTCACCCCCTCTGGGGTCACATCATCCCAGGGTCACCCCATCCAGGGTCACACCATCCCAGTGTCATCCCATCCAGGGTCACCCTATCTAAGGGTTATTCCATCCCAAGGTTACTCCATCCCAGGGTCACCCCGTTTCAAAGTCACCCCATTCCAGGGTCACCCCATGCCAGGGTTATCCCAACCCAGGGTCACCCCATGCCAGGGTTATCCCAACCCAGGCTCACCCCATGCCAAGTTTATCCAATCCCTGGGTCACCTCATACCAGGGTCACTCCATTCCAAAGTCACCCTGTCCCAGGGTTACTCCACGCCAGGGTCACCCCATTCCAAAGTCACCCTATCCCAGGGTTACTCCACGCCAGGGTCACCCCATTCCAAAGTCACCCTATCCCAGGGTTACTCCACGCCAGGGTCACCCCATTCCAAAGCTGCCCCATCCCTGCGTCAGTGTTGGGGGTCGGCACTGGGGGACAGGGATTTGGGGATTTGGGGAGGGGTCACTCTGGGGGGATCAGCGCTTAGGGGGGCCCCCCGGTTCCTCCAGCCCTGTGGGGATCCAACCCCGGTGGGGAGAGGGACGGAACCAGGTCCCACAAGGCGTGATCCATTCGGGTTGCCCAGATCACAGGGAGCAGATCCCACCTGGATACCCGGGCACCTGGATACCCTGGATCCCGCGTCCGGGAACAGATCCCAGGCGATCCCACCCGGGAGGAGAGGCGAGGCAGATCCCGGGGGAAGGGGATCGCCTCGGGCTGCGGGGATCCCGCGGGGACTGCGAGGAGATTCCCCCTCGAGATCACAGCGGATCCCTCGGGATCTCAGGCGGTGGAGGGGGCGCGGATCCCCGTGGAATGGGGGGCGCGGATGGCGGGGAAGGCGCGGGGGGGGGTGGTCAGGTCTTCCCGGTTCTCGTGATCCCGGCGGGAGCGGATCCCGGGGACCCCGAATGCGGGGAAGGGGCGGGGACGGGGGGGTGGTCAGGTCGTCCCGGATCGCGGGAGCGGATCCCTGCGGAACGGGGGGGGGATGATCCCGAACGCGGGGAAGGGGGGGGGATGATCGCCCCGGATCGCGGGACCACGCGGGAGCGGATCCCAGCGCGGCGGCGGGGGGGATCCCGGTGACGTTCCCATTCCCATTCCCGGTGCCATTCCCACTCACCCGGGGCGCAGAGCAGGGCGACCGCCAGCAGCGCCAGGCGGGGCCCCGGGGCCATGGCCGGGGGGCTCGGTGGGGCCGCCGGTGCCGCCGGTCCCTGCCGTGGCTCCGCCGCTGCCTCCCGTCCCTCCGCCCCCGCGCCCAGACAATGGGGCCGGGGCGGGACCGGCACCGGCGCCGCCTCGTCCCGCCGGGTCCTAAACACCGGCGTGCCCGGCGCCAGGCACAGCCCGCTCCCATTCCCAGCCCGCTCCATTCCCAGCCCGCTCCATTCCCAGCCCTGCTCCCATTCCCAGTCTGCTCCCATTCCCAGCCCTGCTCCCATTCCCAACCTGGTCCCCATTCCCAGCCCTGCTCCCCATTCCCAGCCCTGCTCCCATTCCCAACCTACTCCCCATTCCCAGCCCTGCTCCCCATTCCCAGCCCTGCTCCTCATCCCACTCCAAACCCAATCCTCAGTCCCCATTCCCAGCCCTGTTCCGCATCCCACTCTCCATTCCCAGCCCTGCTCCCCAGCCCCATCCTCATCCTCATCCCATCCTTTCCCTATTTCCACTCCCCATCCCATTCCCATCCCCACCCGGCGCTAGACACCCTGGAGCAGGGTGGGATGGTGCTGTTATCCATCCTTCCCTGTCCCACCCCAGCCAGGGACACTTGGAAACACTGTGGGACACCGGGAACACGGGAAGGACCAGAACAGAGGTGGCCAGGAGCACGGAGTGAGTGGGAATTACAGCAGGAATGACTGGAAGGCAGTGGGATCCTGGCACGAATAACCCACCCTCCTCCTCCTCTTCCTCCCTTCCCACCCCACGTGGGTCCCCCAGGGGAGCCCCCACACTCCCAGCTCCAAGCTGGACCCCCTTCCCACGGGAAAGCAGCGGATCCAGGCCGGAAAAACCCGTCTTTATTCCAAACCATTTATCAAAACCGTTTAAAAAGCAGCTGAAACCCCGAGGATTGACAGTGAGGGGGTCCCCGGAGGGGGGGACTCTCAGCCCCCCCCAAACAAGCAAAGCTCCCCTTTTGGGCCAGATTGGCACAATATCCCCGTGGAGCAGGGAATGGGGGAGCTCCTCTCCCGGATTTGGGCTCCGGGGGGAGACTTTGGGGGACCCCCCTCCCGGGGGTGAAGGCACTTGTGGCACTTGGCAAGGCACGGCCCCCCAGCTCTGGGAAGGGATGCTCCCGGGAAAACTGGGGGGGCTCAGCAGGGGTGGGGAAGACATGCTTGGAATTCCGGAGCCAAGCTGGGAAGTGCTTTGGTAGGGTATGTGTGGGAGGAGGGTGTCAATCCTCCCGGTTCCGGGGCCCCCCAAACTTCTGGCGCCGCCGCAGCTCCTCCACCTTCCACTCCAGGCTCCTGACGGCCGCATCCAGCCGGGCAGTGGGATTCTGGGATCCCACCAGGCTCCCCAGGAGGGCGTAGAGCACCCACAGGGCCAGCAGCATTCCCGCCTGCACCGTGGGGCTCTCCTTGGAAGCGGCCACGTGGAGGAAGGCTCCGAGGAAGAGGAAAAGCTTCACCCCCCGGAGCAGCGGGAGCAGCAGCCCCCGGAGCCGGGATAACACCCAGGATCCCAGCAGGGCGGCCAGAGCCCACAGGAGAACCCGCTGGACTTCCCCGGGGCTCAGCGCGGCCGCTCGCACCAGCCGGTGGCCTGGGAACGGGAGACGGGAGTCACCGGCGGCACCGGGAATGGGGGCCGGAGTCGTCCCGCGGGACGATCCCAACTCACCGCCGATGCTGGAAGCGGCCAGGAGATCCGCCAGGATCCCGCACAGCGTGGTCAGGGCTGCTGAGATTCCAGAGGAAACGATCCAGAGGGTGGTGGAGAGGCTCTGTGGGGAAAAATGGGGATGGGGGAGCAGGAAAAGGGGGCGCAGACCACCGCGTTCCTCCAGGAGAGGCTCCAGGGAAACTTTAGGGATTGGGACCTTCCCCTTGTCACCAGCCAGGGGAAAAGGGGACACAGACCCCTGTGTTCCTCCTGGAGGGGATCCAGGGCAAATTTAGGGATTGGGACCTTCCTGTGGTCACCAGCCAGGGGAAAAGGTGACATAGACCCCTCTGTTCCTTATGGAAGGGATCCAGGGCAAATTTAGGGACTGGGACCTTTCCGTTGTCACCAGCCGTGGGAAAAGGGGACACAACCCCCCGGGTCCCTCCATGAGAGGCTCCAGGGAAGGTCTGGGGGGTCAGGATCCCACCATTTTCCTGGGAAAAGGGGGAACACAGCCCTCTATGTCCCTCCTGGGGGGGATCCAGGGGAAAACTGAGGGATGGGGACCCCACCTCCGCCACCATCTGCAGGGCTTGGGGTCCCACCCAGCCCTCCAGGGTATCCCAGGAGGCTTTTCCCAGCCGGGACAGCAGGTCATCCATGGTGGCAGTGCTGGAGTGTCCCCGGAATCCCTCCGGGCCACCCTTGGCTTCATCCGCTGCTGATCCCACCAGGAATGGGGCCCACAGGAGCAGGACCAGCAGGGCCCGGAGCCCCCCGGCACTGGCCATCCTGGATCCCGGGATCTGTGGGGAGAAGGGGAGCCGAGAGGGGCTGGTTTTGGGGTCATCCTGCTGGGTTTGGGGTCCCCCTGAGCAGGAGGGGAGGGCTGAGGCCCCAAAGCTCCGTCCTCCCCCCTCGCCTTCCAGGCACAGGCCTGGGTGTCCCGGCTATTTTTGGGATGGCTGGGAGTCAGCGGGACACGGCCAAGGGCACCGGGCCTGGCTGGGGAAGGGGGGGCACCCAGCGCCCTCTTCCCAAAGGAAGGAGCGGGGAACTTTGGGATGGGCCATGGCCATCACTGCCCCCTACAAAGACCCCCTGTGCACCCCAGTCCTCCCTAATCCCCCCAGTTCCCCTTGGATACCCCAAATTCCCCCTGTGCCCACCCCCTCCTGTCCCATCCACTCCTTGGGGTCCTCTCAATCCCCCCTGGATCCCCCCAGCGCCCCCTGGAACCCCAAATCCCCCTTGTACCCACCATTCCTCAGTTCCCCCCAGTTCCCCCTGGATCCCCTCAAATCCCCCCTGTGACCACCCCATCCCAATTCCCCCCCCCCGCCCAGCTCTCCCCAACCCCCCAATTCTCCCAGTGCCCCCAGTAGGATCCCCCCAATTCCCCCCCCCTCCTTGGATCCCCCC